ACACACACACACACACACACACACACACACACACACACACACACACACGCGCTCAGGTTTAAGGCTATGATCATACTTGAAAAATGTTATTTGCTCCAGCCTGACACTGTCACATAGGAGCTGGAAGTGAGGTTTACAACTGAGTTTAATCAGAGACCAGCAGGAACTGGTTTTATGTGTTAGAAATAAAAAAGATGCTTTTGCATCACTTTGTTTTGCACATTTAATGTCAACTTAAAGTTTAAATTTGCCCCTCAGTCATGCATGAGTGAAAAACGTGTGAAATAAAGGATTAAGTTCATGTCTTATAGTGTTGCAGCTTTTCTGTTGGTTTTGGAAGTCCCTCGGTTTTACTCTCAGTCTTAGACGTCTGTCTGACAATACAAACTATATACATAAACATCATCAAATACTAACAATTGAGTGTTCTCATCCAGTAGCAGCAATGAAAAAAGTCTGTGTTTAGCGTGTGCCTTCATCGCTGATGCTGTCTGTCATATGACCTCTCCCTGTGCGCTGAATACGCACATGCACGCACGCGCCAGCTTGTGATGATCATATGTTCAAGAAGAGGAAGACGGCGTTAAAGCGACGAGCAAAACAAATGGAATCTGTTGTGTGTAAACAGGAAACTTTCACCACATTCATCAGGACACTGAAGACTTTCTTTTCTTATGTCAGCAGCAGCTGAGCAGGAGTCAAACATGAGAGCAGCTGCTGGGTCCTTCACAGATACCTTTCCTAGCTTAAGCCCGACAGAGTTGTTGAACATTTAGGACTAAATGTGCTGTTAATAAAACAAATAAAAATATCTTAAAGGTAGAAATGAAGATTGGTTCCCTTTATAATCAAACCAGTCCGAAACACTGAACACACCACGGTCCCGCCCCCCCCGGCTGCTCGACTGTCCCAGGAGTCGTCCTGGTCAGCACTGATCAAATCTGGGTTTCCCCTTCTGAAAACAGCCCTGCACATACAAGCAGTCGTTTTTGTCTTTTTTCATTCTAAAAAATTACTTTCAGGCCATCAAGCGAATCTCTGTTAAACAATGACAGTGGATTGAACAGGTTGTTTTCTACAGCAGGAAATACTCACTGTTAATGCTCGTTTACGGCATCGACAGTAAAACTGAAAAGGAAGGTGAAAAATGAAAAAGCAAACAAACAATAAATCATTTTTAAAAAGCAGGCTGCTGTTTTTGAGATCATACGACTTGAATTCGTCTTTTACTCAGACGTAAGTTTCTGTGAAGGTGTCAGTGCTGCAGCAGCTTCCAGGTGCTGATGAGAACTGAATCACACAGACCAAGAAGAGTGACACTGACATCTAACATATGGGCAAAGATTCTGGACCACTAATCCCATCTCCAAGGAATCACTTATGAACCTCATATGCAACTTATTAGATTTACTGAAACATCCTTAAACTGCAGCACAGAGCAGTCAAGCTGGAGCTGCTGAGACACATCTGCTGAGCAAACTCAGCTGATCCAAACATACTCGTGCAACACTGTGTTTGCGCAGCAGCCTGCAGATATATGCATTTCAGACACACACCTCGCTAAGACGCTTCACTACACAGTTTGTTCCAGGAGTGGAAGCTGTGAGCAATCCCGAGCGCCAGACTGCAGGCAGCAAGCACACGTCTACGTCAGCAAAGCTCTGAGCAGGCATGTGCACGTCCAAGGCTGAGGTCTGAACACCAGGGTGCACTCTGCTGGTAATTTGTCCTCATACACTCTGAAAATGTATTTAGTCGTCTTTTCGTTTTTATACGGCGAGTAAGTCGGTGCTGAAGTTGTAACTTTTAGGGTCTGAAACAGCAGCT